CCAGGCGGGAAGGTTGCTGGGGGACCCAAGACAAGGGGGGGGGGGGGCGCCGCCGCCTGTGTAGCTAGCCCAAGGCGGGGGTCATGTTTGCCCTTGAGGAGATTCCCGAGTCCTGAGCATCTGCGGTGGACGAGGGTTGTGGAGCCTCCTGTCTCGTTTGCAGCCCGGAGAGAAAGAAATTAGGCAGGGATATGTAGGCTTTCTCTCCGCCGGGCAAGGTACCAGGCCCTCAGGAGATGCCGGGAGGTGGGGTTGTGGGTGGTGGGAGAAAGGTTTCTTATGCGGCCTAAGAGGTAAGACAAAAGGCTTTGGTCCCTCGTGCTTCCGGAGCTCGGATCTGCCGGTGCTGCATCTGGCATTGAGGGGGGAGACCAGATTGCTGCTCTCCGACAGCTCTAAAGAGGGGTGGGACCAGTGTTTCCTCTAAGCTGTGGAGTCTTGTGAGCAAAAATTCTACTTTGTGAGTTACTGGCGTTAAAGTTGTGAGCAAGTGTTTTGGCTGCTGCATAAATTAGTTTGCTCTGGAGCCATCCTTCCCGAGCTTAGACAAAAACGTGTGAGCCGGAGGATAAAAAACTGAGCTAGCTCATACTAACTCAGGTTAGAGGGAACACTGGTAGGACCGAAGGGTTTCGCTCTTTTTCTGCCTCCTTTTCTCTGGTTGCACTGGTGAAGTCTGACTGTAGGGACTGAGAAGTGGTGGTTTTAGAAATCTTCTTCACACTGTTGTTAAGCAGTTCCATACTTTGAGACATGTTATTGGCAGAATGTGACTACCAGTGTTTTGGACTGAATTTCAATTACTTTTGTTTCCAGGATGAAGAGCCTGTGTTTGCTCCTGAGTTCAGCAAAATGGAGTTTGGGTCTGCATTTCTAACTCTACAGAGCCAAAGAAACTTGAGCAAAGAGACTGCCATATGTATTGTATAGCAATAACTTTCTGACTGTAAACATCCTAGTTCACAGTATTTAATTTTGTAACAATATTTATTATAGTACTTTCATACCTCAGTTTTTTGTTTACATATCAAAGTAACTAATAGTTAGGGACCACCAAAATTAGTATCATGGCTACAATGGAAACAACAACAGTTATGATGGAGTTTATAACAAGTGCAGTAGGAAATAAGGCCTCTGGCCCTTTAGTGGCTTTCCTTTGGATGCTGATATTGGGGTTCGTCATCGCTTTTATTCTGGCATTCTCTGTGGGTGCCAATGATGTAGCAAATTCATTTGGAACGGCAGTGGGCTCTGGGGTGGTGACTCTACGGCAAGCTTGTATCCTGGCATCTATCTTTGAGACAGTGGGCTCTGTTCTTCTGGGAGCCAAAGTGAGTGAGACCATCCGGAAAGGGCTGATCGATGTTGAAATGTACAACACTACGCAAGAGCTGTTGATGGCTGGCTCCATCAGTGCCATGTTTGGTGAGTAAAGTGTCACTGGAGTGGCTTATTAGTTTTCTCTAGAGTATTTGTCTTTGTTGGGGTTGTTGTGAATTAACTTCACGTAATGATTGTTCACTTAATCCCTTTGCTTTTTCTGTTTTAGGTTCAGCTGTGTGGCAATTAGTGGCTTCATTTTTGAAACTTCCAATTTCTGGTACCCATTGTATTGTTGGGGCAACGATTGGCTTCTCACTGGTTGCCAAAGGACAGGAAGGAGTTAAGTGGTCAGAGCTGCTTAAAGTAGGTAAGCAAGAACTTTATTGATCTGCTGGTTAAATGGAAGTATAGGTTTGTGAACCATATAATATTACAACATAATGTAGGAATGAATGTGGTGATTACACTGTAGTATAAGCAAAGAGTAAATAAATGAACTTTCCTTTTTCTAGTGTTGTCCTGGTTCATATCTCCTCTTCTTTCTGGCATCATGTCTGCTGTCCTCTTCTTCCTTGTCCGTATGTTCATTCTCAGTAAGGTGAGTATTGTTTCAAGCAAATACAATATATGCATAGGAGGAATGTGGGGGATCAATGTCAAAGTGTGCTACTGCTGGCATAATTGATCTTGGTAATTTCTAAATCAGAATTGATGATAATGGGCTTCTGATAGTGGATTGCAAACTGTACTGCATAAAAGGCAGCCAGCATACACTTTGACTTGAATCCTGAGTGCCCTTTCTGCTTGTACTAGGCACAGTGCTTGTGGAAGTAATGGAGGTTGATGTGTGCAAATTAACATCCATTTCAGTCTTCTACTTTGGCCCCATGGTGTTGCTTGGATCTACTGACCCATGAGGGCCCAATTTCCAGGGTTTGTGTGAGCCAGGGCGGTGGGATTGCAGTGGATGGGGAAGGAAAGAAGGCCACTGTTCATGCAGTGTAGCTGTTAGGACTGCATAGGATCCAAGCCATTGTCTTTTCTCCTCACACAAACCTAGGTTAGATATTAAGCTGTATGGATATTTGCTAAGCCTTTTGTATTTCCTATTTGTAGAAATTGGATCATTTCTTGTAGTCTCTTGGCTGTTTGTGAGAAGGTTTAAGAAGCTTGTCTTGATCATATTTGGTCTCTCTCCCTGCTCTGTTCCTTATGCTCATTTTCCCTTCACTCTAAATATAAGCTTATACTTAATATGCTATTTGGCTCTGCAGTTGTAGTGTGTACATTCTTTAATCTTTTGTTTGCATTGACTCAGGATTATAAAGTTCTGAATTTATTTACTTAGAATATTTTTAAAAACGTGTTTCCATTTGCTCCAGATGCCTAAGGTGATAACAGAACTATAATTCATTTAGTTATTATCATCCTTGTGTACTGCTGCTCAGATTGACTGGAAAAAACAGTTGACTGGAAAAAACAGACACCCCCTTCCATAAAAAGCTGGCTTAGTATTATTTGAAATGTAGCCTTATTAACGTACAACCCAAGGAGGCAAAGAGATAGTTTGCAAGGTATAGAAGTTTTATGAAGATTGAACACCCATCTGTTTTTTTTTTCTGGGTATGAATCTATAATGTTTCATATAGCATGATATTTTTTTTAAAAAGCCTGATAGCTACAATTAATAAAACACCAAAATGAAACAGGGTGAAGAAAAGAATGGGTTGTCCTTACTTTAAATTTCAAATGTTTGCCAAAAGAGGAATATCCTATTTAGGAGCCTTGTTATCACAACTTGAGTAAACATCAGCTATTTTGTAAGGATGTTTTTAACTGCCAGTAAAAATTTGAATGTGCTGCAAAAGTGTAAGACAAATGTGACCACTACATTAATTGTTGTGGCATGAGATGAAGTGAATACACTATTCCCCTGTTTTGGTGAGAAGTCCTTCATACTTATATATGTGCTAGGCCTCATAATGCATGGCCACAGGATATTCCAGAGTCCAGTCAGACAGCAACAAGGTTGTATACAGTTCAAGTTACTGCTAATGTTGGGTGATCAGGTGTGCATTGGTACAGGTTGTGCTTCAATAAAGTTCACATCGCGAAACATTGTTTTTTGCAGGCTGATCCTGTTCCAAATGGATTGCGAGCATTGCCTGTCTTCTATGCTTGCACAATTGGAATCAATCTCTTTTCTATTATGTACAGTGGTGCACCTTGTAAGTATATAATAAAATTCTTGTGCTTTACTTTTTTATAATTATTTATTAAATTCTCAATCAAACACAGAATTTTACCCCTTTTGCTTTACAGGACGGAGTTCTCCTAGAAGGCAGCTGGCCTGGGCCAGTTACAGAAGGCTGCAGGCTAGTGTATGCCGAGTTCAAACCTAGATAGCTATCCCACTCAGGAGGCCTGCTTGTACTCTAAATTACTGCACACGTTTCTTCTTAGTCTTCACAGGAACTACAGATACTTTCAGCCTAGCTGCCACTGTGCCAGAAATCCCCTAACTTGCCTACCCTACCCCTCACTTCCTCTTTTGTACCCACTGCCAAAACCTGGGGTTAACCTATATGTTGCTGAAGTTTGAGACTTCCTTGTACTCTGCGAGTCAAACTTAGGCTAATACCAGGGAAGAAGACTTTGTGGTAGGTTTCTCACTGTGGCCTCCAGATGTCTTGATCTGCTCTTATTCCCAAAGAACATTACTACCTACCCCATTCCCCATAAGAAGAGCTGGCAACAAGTGCTTTGAAAAGGAATTCTTGCTTCTGTGTTGGAATCTTCTGGGAGTCTCCTAACTGAAATGTTAAACTGGTGGTGAGGGTGGGAGGAAAGGCAGCCTTTTATTTCATTTTAAAACATTAACCTTTTGGTATAAAATAAGAATATCTCCATCATTTGGTAAGAGACCTATTGGAAGGCAAGCTAGTGGAGCAAGTGTTGTAGTACAGGTTGTATAGCCAAGGTCTAAAGTTCATAGGCTGATTACATATTTGCCCCCTTACATAAAGAAAGTGGGATGTATGTCCACCTAGTATGGTTGGTTGGCTTATTTCACCTGTATACTCATGACATAAATTATGGGCAATAAAACCATAAGTATAAAACAGTCTGGAAGGAAGAACTTTCCCAGATACCAAGATTCAACACAACAGATGCCAGACCCTCAAACCAGCTTGGGACTTGAGAGATGAGTTTTCCTGCCAAAACCTGTTATATCTCAAAGCACTATCCTGCCCTTTATTGGGGAAAGGCGGTCATGGTAAATGGTGACAAATTTTGACTGTTTTACTAAGGATAACCATAGCTTGTTGGACCCTGGCTTTACCTCTGGTAGTTTTCTGTTACTATTGAAGGCATATTCAGCCCTTACTTCCCGTATCCCAAAGGTTTAACAAAAACATGTGATTAGGTAATGAGTGTTAATGGGTTGTGGGGTTGAATTGTATGCTAGTTTTAGGGGGCATGTCATTGGTAAGGGGCTTAGGTAGAAGCAGCTTACACCCAAAGTAGAAGTATCTGTACATTTGAAGATGTTGCAGGAGCCAAAAAGACCTAACATTAAACAGGCTGTCAGTCCTGTACATGATGTCATATGAGAAATCTTAAACACTGCAGTCCTCCTTGGCAGCTATTTTATTTTTGTTCTGGGAGTGGTGGTATTGTGGGTGATAAGCTGTCTGAAAACTTCTGCAATCCTTTTTTTGTTGGTATTTTTGCATGCGTGTATGTGTGCACTGTGCCTGGAAGTAATGGTGACCTCTGGCGACTCCTACTGGGGCATGGAGGACATTCAGAGAAGTGGCTTGACTCTGGCCTCCCAGCCCTCATATTCTCTGGAGGTCTCCCATCCAGATACTTGCCAGGGTTGGCCCTGTTTAGCTTCTGAGATCTGACAAGATCGGGCTTGCCTGGGTTATCCAGGTCATGGCACTTCTGCAATCTTTGGTGCGATTAAGTTTCTAGTTGTGCCAGTTAAATATCAAAAGTACAAATGTTTAAAATAATAAGCTGGCACTGAAAGCATAAGTTTATTTTTCCTGTCCAACATCTGAAGGTATGTCTCAGAAGTGGATATAATTGAATTTTGGTTGCTGTTCCCTTGGCTGTTTTTAAGTGGGCTAGATCCAAGGAATTTTTGCTGTTAAAAGCTTGACGCTGCAGAAGGCCATGGCAAGTATATCCAAATGCAGTAATGTAATTCAGTAATCCAAGGGAGAGCTTCAGGGCATGTGAAAGTGGTTTAAATTTGGATGGAAGAAAATGAAAATGTAATAACAGGCTTTAACTTCTGTGTGCATTCACATTTAGTTGCTGTGAATGTAAAGCTATAGGCATGCCAGTTCTTAGCATGCCATAAAAGTTTAAATGTTAAATCTATTTAGTTGGAGAACTCTCACAAATTATACTTGGAAGGGGCTTGGGGTTTTCAAGATGCATTATTTTATTTCCTAGTGCTGGGCTTTGACAAAATTCCTCTCTGGGGCATCGTCCTCATTTCAGCGGGGAGTGCTGTTGTCTGTGCTCTCATCGTTTGGTTCTTTGTCTGTCCAAGAATGAAGAAGAAAATTGAACGTAAGTAGTTCCAAGTCCATGAATATACAGCAGTCTTCTGTATCTCACTCAACTGGTCTGTTGATTTCTGGTTCTGGCTCCCTAGAAAGGTTGAAAGGATGTACTTTTGATGGGTCCATGGATTATGAAGTTGAAAGTGAAGAGTCACTTGATTGCACTGCTACTGCAGCTTTAATTGCTGTTTGTAATGTAATAAAATGCAAAAGGAGCATATGTGGCTGCTTTTTGCCAAATGGGAATCAATGCATATTTGGGAAACGTGTCATCTGCAGCCTTGTGTCTATGCACTGCAGTGTCTGAATAAGCTACTTGTGGAATGCATCACAGCTACCATATAAATGACCAATATGTGCTTAGCAGTCAGTCTGATACTGCTAGTAGTTCTTACAGTGTGTAGTTTTGCCACTTTTTCAGGCTTGTGCATTTATACCACTTGTAGTCTTATATAATTTTGGACATTAATAGAAATGAATGTGGCCCTGCAGTGTTCATCTCCTTCTTTCCCTCAAGCTTGTCACTCTTTTCTGGAAATATTTCAAGGTGCTACAGTGCGTTATTGGCTCCCACGTTTTGTCCTGTTGCTTTTGTCTCTAGTGCTATGTTCTTGGTGTTGATCTAAAACTAAATACAGTGGAATAAGAACATAAGAGTCTTGCTGAATCAGACCAATAGTCTATCTAGTCCAGCATCCTGTCTCACACAGTGGCCAGCCAGTTCCTCTGGAAAGCCAACAACAGGGCATAGAGGCCAAGGCCTTCCCCTGATGTTGCCTCCTGGCTCTGGGATTCAGAGGCTTAGTGCCTCTGAATTTGGAGGTTCTTCTCAATCACCATGGCTAGTAGCTATCGATAGACATCCTCTGTGAAACTATCTAATCCCCTTTTAAAGCTTTGGCAGCATTCCACATTTTAATCGTTGTTCGTGGAATGTTGCCCATCCTATAGGGAATGAAGACAAGGTCTTGTGTATCACCTTGTGCACATAGATTTTGCTTGTCATGCAACAGGGAGGTGTGCAAATTCGCACATCTCACAGGAAACATGCTCTTCAGTTGTAGTACAGGAAGCTGCTCTTAGATGGTGGATGAGACAAATGTATTCTCGGTTGAAGCTTGCCTACTATAACTCTCTTTCTGCAGAGGAGATCAAATCGAGTCCTTCTGAGAGCCCCTTAATGAAGAAGAAGAGTAGTCTGAAAGAACAGGATGAAATTAAAGCAGTCATGGATAACCAGATTGGTGCTGATGATAGAAGCCCTGCAACTGAAGTATCTGCTGCGCCACGCAGGGCAGCTGCAGAGGAAAGGATGGTCTCATTCAATTTGGGAGACTTGGAGGAAGTTCCAGAGCGTGAGAGGCTCCCAAGGGCAGAGGTGAAGGAAACAAGCATTGATAGTGGTAAGCTGGGGAAAAGATTGCAGCAGTTGTCATTGCATCTGTCTTAATGTAGGACTTACTGTACCTCGATTGTGCTTCTATAATGAACGTGCTGAGTTGTCTTAGTTAAAAGTGTCTTTGTGTTTTCAGGAGCCATGCAGCTTCCCAACGGGAACCTTGTTCAGTTCAACCAAGCTGTCAGCAGCAATCAGATAACCTCCAGTGGGCATTATCATACAGTGCATAAGGATTCTGGCCTCTACAAGGAGCTGCTTCATAAGCTTCACCTGGCTAAGGTGGGTGATTGTATGGGAGACTCCGGAGACAAGCCTCTGCGACGCAACAATAGTTACACCTCTTATACAATGGCTATCTGTGGCATGCCTCTGGATTCATTCCGTGCTAAAGATGCTGAGCCAAAAGGGGAAGAGATGGAGAAGCTGACATGGCCTGGGGGAGATTCCAAGAAAAGGATCAGAATGGACAGTTACACCAGCTACTGTAATGCTGTGGCAGATGCCCACCCAACTGTTGTGGATTTGAGAAAGGCAGAGATGGGTATTGGCAGCAGGAAAGGGAGCAGCAGTTCTCTGGAAGAGTGGCATGACCAAGACAAGCCAGAAGTATCCCTTCTCTTCCAGTTCCTGCAGATCCTGACAGCTTGTTTTGGTTCCTTTGCACATGGAGGAAATGATGTGAGGTTAGTTGCTGGTAGGCATTGTTTTCTGTTTCAGTAACTATGTGCGGAATGTCACCCTGCCTTCAGGTAAAGTGCTGGTGACAGGGAATGCAGCCTTACTAGGCCTGAGATCTTCTTGCAAAATTGTTCCTTACTAATTAGTGATATCTAAAATGTAATAAATCCAATGCTTATTAGGAAAATGTTTGCTTCTCCAGTTATGTTTTGTTTCCATCCTATCAGCTGACTGGTATGTGTGTTTTCTTTTTGGCAGCAATGCTATTGGTCCTTTGGTTGCTTTGTACCTTGTCTACCAAACGGGAGATGTCGCTTCAAAGGTAGCAACTCCAATTTGGCTGTTGTTGTATGGAGGTGTTGGGATCTGCACCGGCTTGTGGATCTGGGGGAGAAGAGTCATTCAGACCATGGGGAAGGATCTGACTCCTATAACACCATCTAGGTAAGCTAGGAAGTGTGTCATGAACAACTGCTTTACAGCAGAGCACCTTGTAGAGTGTGCAGTTGGTTTTGTTCCTTGTTGAGGTGGGCTTGGGTTGAGATGTGTTTGAACTGGCCAGAATGGCATGGGGAAAAAGGTGAAATGTTTGTTTGCTTTGAGAATGTGTGGTGTCTTAAAAGTCTTTGCATTTGTGGGTGTTCTGTCAGATAACTAGATTATTAAGAACCATGAGTGCTTTCAAATCTATTTTGAAAGACTCAGTGGAATTATCAATGCTATGAGGCACACATTTTATACCTGAATTGCTTGAAGTAGATGTTTACCTAGTCTTTTCAGATTGCTTTGTTTCTTTCAGTTTCTTTGCCCAAATCTACCATTTATACCATTGTAGACTGGATTTTCCTGCCTCACATTCTTCTTTTCTCCTGCCATATTTGATACCTTCTGAGGTTTTTTCAGCTTTGCCATAAGCTGTTTCCTGGGCTGGTTAGATAGATCTTTGCAGCATATAACCTTGAATGGTGTCGGATAGCTCCTGTTCTTGGGAAATAACTTGAAAATGTGTGCATAATTCAGATATGGTGTGTATAGTGCATAATGTCTGGTCTGTCCACCAGCTGTGCCTCCAAAAGGCTTTCTAGCCCCTTTAATAGGTTGTCAACATCCTTTGGATTCATCCAGGTACTGTAGTTGGTGTTAAATAATTAGCATGCAGGTTTTCATAACCTGTACCAATGATGAGCATGCTTGGCATAAGAATTCCATAGCTCCAAGTGTTGTAAGCTCCTTATCAGTACTAAATTGGGTATTTGCTTTAAGGCAAAGTCTATACAGAATTGGGCTTTGAAAAGCAAATTTATATTTGCAGGAAGCTTCTGACTTCGTTATCTTCAGGCTAAAAGGCTGAAAAAGTTTTAATTAATGAGGAGTCATGGCATGCCTAGTACACCAGATTCTGGTGTGGAATGTCAAAGGTATCTAAACAGCTGCTTTTTTTAACAGTGGCTTCAGCATTGAATTGGCATCTGCTTTGACTGTGGTCATCGCCTCCAACATTGGTTTGCCTATCAGCACAACTCACTGCAAAGTAAGTGAAAGGGCTTCTGTTTCCAAAATGAGTGTTTGAACTTTTTTAGTTGTGCAGAGATTTTAGCTATGTTGCTGCTATGTAGGTAGTTGAACTCTTGGTACTGATGTACTGGTAATCTGGGATATTTTGCATTGTGAGAACTTAAAAGTAGCAAAAAAGCTCTGAAAAGTCTTGAATAGGTTTTGATGTTCTGGCTGCTTTATCAGGTTTACTCTTAGCAGAGTTTCCTTAATTTGTTGCAAATAGCAATAATCAGCTATTGTACATAATGCATTATAATAATAGGGGATCTTGCTCCCAAGGAGTTTCCAATGAAATTCAGCATATGAATACCCGGGGAGGTGGGTGGGAGGTGAAAGTTGCGCATATACTTCAGTAGGTGAGAATTAAATATTGACAAAGTCTTGGTGGAAAAGACAGAGTTTGAGAGGTGACATGCACTTCTGGAAAGCAGTTTGAAGCATAAAAGGCAGGAGAAAGAGTGGAGTCATTAGGGCAGTTATTTGAGGAAGCAGGAAACTATTAGACAGCTATGGCCGTGGAGCTGTGGCAGTGAGTGTATATGGCTAGGAGAACTGTTGGGGTTTGGCATGGGAGTATTGAAAGCAAGGATGTGGAGTTAGTGTTGGATCCTGACAGAGACAGGAAGCCCGTGTTTGGACTTGTCCCGTATTTACAGTGAGGCAAGTGAATTTGGCAAAGTTCTGGGTGGAGGTGAAGGCACAATCATGAAAGGAGGCTAGAGAGGATGAAGTTGTAGATCTGATAGTAGAAGATGACCAAAATGTGAACTGTTTTTATCAAGTGGCATAAAGGGGAGCAGTATCTTTGCATTGTCTCCTTTGAACCAACCATGACATAAACAGTGGGATGTAAATATCAGAATATTATGGGAAAAGCAAAATGACTTGGTGATGGGTTAACTATGGGAAGTGAAGGACAGTACAAAATAGCCTGTGTTAACAGGGAAGATTGTGTCTTTGCATATAAAGCAGGGGCCCAACCTTTCTGAGCCTGTGGGCACTTTTGGAATTCTGACATAGCATGGTGGGCACAACCACAAAATGGCTGCCACAGGAGGCAGAGCCAGCCAGTCACAAAATGTCTGCTGCAGCTTAACCTACAGATACACAGTGAAGGTCCTTGTGTTGTGATGGCAGTTGCTGCCAAAGCAACGTTTTAACAAATCCACCCAGACAATCAGAAGCCTCACTGGGCAAAGCCTCACCTGACCCCTACCCATTTTCTAAAAACGCTTGGTGGCCACCAGGAGACATGTCAGCAGGCACCATGATGCCCACAGGTACCACACTGGGGACCCTGATGTAAATTGTATAGGAAGTGTTAGAGAACAAATTTAGGTTTGGACTTCTGGGCACTGGAAGATTTTTTTTGCTTATGAGACTGATTAATCAACTGGTTGGAGACTTACGATTGACTGGAGGGTAGTAAAAATTTATAGCTGGTAAAGCTGAGTTAGTTGTGGCATAGTGAATGGTGAGGAAAAAATGGGATTTGAGATTTCCTATGGAAGGTGGGTAGAGAGCTAAGAAAACCCTCAACCGAAACAGGGAAAACAAAGGCAGGAATTTTGATGAGACTTTTCTCAGTGGACTGAAGAGGTGGGAGACTTAGATCAGGCTCAAGAGCAGCATTAAATAAAAAGCTGGGGCAATTGGATTAAGAGGGCATGCTCCACAAATTGGGGAGATGGGAAATTACTCTAGGAGATGGAGGTGCGGTAGAATGGAACGGCTAGGGAAAAGGTAAAGATCAAAGCAACTGGAAGCAATCTTATGGGCAGGTAATGAGGAGCAGGTGGGGCAAGCCGTAGAACACCAGAAGTAAGGAAGAAGTGCTGGTGATCTCTAGAATTTGTAGATCATGGAATACTTCAGTAGATGATGGAGGAGATTATGAGTTTGTAATGAACAAAGCTGCCACTTTGCCCACCAGAGGTATTTTGCTGCTTGAAAACTCATGTTTACATGGCTGGCAATGAAGGAGGGTTTAGACCTGTTGCTAGATAAATCTGAAATGTTGAGTTGTAAAGTGGGGAGAGTTCTTGCTGAATGTCTGCTTCCATGCTAGTAGTGTCTTTGTTACCAGCTCAGTGGAGGCTGGGGCCTGCTAAGTCTTTTGCTTTGTCCCTTGCTGTAGGTGGGATCTGTGGTTTCCGTCGGCTGGCTGCGTTCCAAGAAGGCTGTGGACTGGCGCCTGTTCCGCAATATCTTCATGGCCTGGTTTGTCACAGTCCCCATTTCTGGCCTCATCAGTGCTGCCATCATGGCGCTATTCAAGTACCCCATCCTTGGAGTATGAAACAGAAGTGCTGAAAAACCTGTAGCTTGCTGCACAAGCGCCTGTCTGCATATCCTTGCCAAGTGCTGAAACAGTGTTAGGTGACTACCAAGTACAAGAGGGCAGGGTATCTTTTGTGCTGTACCTGCTTTACATGTGCTATCTTGTCTTGGAACTAGCTATGTCAAATAGCTATCATGAGTCCTACTTCTCTTGGGCTGTGAATTGTGTGTATACATTTCTATACTCTTTTGTATTGAGCTTTAACTTCATTTGATTAATGTTGTCAGACGTATCATTCTCAAATTTATTCTTTGAATTGAATTTCAAATCTGTCAAGCACAATGACGAGGGAGGAGTAGCCTAGCAGAAATGTGTGTGAGGAGCCACTTTTATAAATAAAGCCTTTTTAAATAACCTGGGTGTGTTCTTGTGAAGCACTGACAGCTTTGCCATTTGAATCCTTGTTGCTGCTACTGAAAAGAGTAGAAACAGTGACACGTGACAGTCTGCATAGAAATTATGTGGATACCTCTCTGCAGTTGATAAAATCTGATGCAAGAAGAAACAGGTTGGGTCTCAAGATGGAGTCTCAAGGAAATATAATTGTTCTTGGTTGCCTGCAAAAGTGCCTTTTGAGGTATATCTGCTGCAGTACTCCTGTCCATGTAGGCAGTAGACTTCAGCAGATAACAATGTTAAAGCAAACTGCAGTGTATGCTAGCCATGTGATGGTTGCAATACTATGATTTCTGTATTCAAATAGTTGAGGGAGGGTGGGAGAAAGGATGTTGTTCAGTCGCACAGTCGAGTCCGACTCTTTGCGACCCCATGGACCAGATCACGCCAGGATAGGATAGCTATAATGTTGTATATCTTTAAAGAATGCTAGCATACTGCAATGTTTGAGGTTTTTTGAAGACTGATGGCTGCTAAAGCCCACACTTTGGAAATAGTGGAGCATTGCTTTGGATAGGTATACAATTGGTGAAATTGGCCATTTTGAATACTGCCTGTGGCATGAGTGGCAGAGTGTGCCTGTGTCAAATGCAGCGAGTATGATAATATAGCTAGGCCAAGAGTTGCTTTCAACAGCACTGGAAGATAGCAGAAGTGCATACAAGTGCCTATGGCATTTGTTACGTAAGAGCAGAGCCTGTTCAGATGGCCCAGTTGTTGATAGAAACAGCCATTTGTAAGTCCAGTCTTAGCAAGTTCTCAGTAAGGTATAGCTTTACTCACAGTTGAGGGTGAAATGAACAATGTCACCAACTGAGGACAACAGTGGTAGCTTGGGCCACACTTGTTTTCCTTTTGCAAACTAAAGTGATTGGCAAAAAAAGGAAAGGGTGTGGTTGAGATATGAAAGGTAGATAATGGGAAGGGAGAAATAGAAATGGGGGAAGAGACATTAGCGCTTTGGTGCCTCATTGAAAAGCAGCTTCTTAGCAATAAGTATTATAAGAATGTCCAAATATTTACTTTTCAGCAGAACATTACCATGGTAGGGGATTCTTGTAAATATCTGATACCTGATAGAATAATGCTGCTTGGCATTAAGAAAGAAACACCAATAGGATCTTCAGTACATTAAAAGACTAATACACTTTGGAAATGCACAGTTCTTTCAAAAGGCTAATGCAAGTGCTCAAACCAGATGCAATTTTTCTGCAGGTTTCCTCAAAAACAAATAGACCTGTTTTATAGTGCCACATGACAGAAGTCTGTGTCTCCTACAAATCTCCATGGCATAGGTGCTGAGTATTCACTGCTACTGCCCTTAATGTTAGTCCCTGAAGTGAGGCCTGCTTTTGAGCACAAGCTTGCTAGCAGTGCCCTAAGCAGCACTGAACCATGAATTAGTAGATTAGCTTTGGGGCTTGAGTACATTGCCTCGTTTTCTTTGTGACTGAAAGACTGTGATGATGGCACACGCTTTGACCTCAGAGATGATTGATGGTAGCCTGGATCTTCCAGGGGTGGGGTGTTTGGGTGCCAGGACAAAACAGTGGCTAGTCTGCCCACGTGGTTACAATGTTAGTTCTTGTTTTTGTTGTTTTTAACCAGACTTTTCATGTGCTGTTGTAGGGACCTATATTAACCCTCATGAACAGTCTGAAGTGGTACAGTCCCTTTTACCACCTCATTGGTCCTCCAGTCAATGTCTGCCATCTGGCATTGCTTTCTTGGCAAAATTTGCCTCATGTAGTCTGTGGAAGGTCTTTACATTCCTTATTGCCTCTAGAGCCACCTCTAACTTCAGGTAATGCTGTCTATAACATGAGGGCAATCCCAAGGGCATTGCTGCAGGAGTAGGACATGCCCATTTGGAAAGACATATTACTTGGCAAAATCAGAGGGATCTCTGCTTAAAACCTTATTTCCATTCACTTCATCATTTTTTTGGAAGATTCAGGGAATGCATCATGTTCTCTAAGCACCTGCGCCCAGCCCACCTTTTAGTTTAGAAGGATCAGTAGTAGCTTCATAGCAACCTTGGTGAGTGAGGCTGGTGCCCATATAGCCAAGCCCTTATCCTACTCAGAGTAGTCCTTCCCACTAGTCTCACTGAGAGCATCTCTGCCTTAGCTTCTCCCTAGCATAACCACTTCTCAATAGTAAATGTGCATGAAAGACTAGAAAAACTTTGACAGGTATGCCCGTTTGCTGTACAGAACTTGAGGGATGCCAGTTGTTAAATTGATGCATTTGCTTCATTGGCATGTCTTTCTGCTCCTGGATAACAGCAAAATCTGGCTGTCTGCTTGTAGGTTTCTGAGCTCAACAGCCATTGAAAGTGGTCCCAATCTGATATTTTTTGTCCCAATGTTACCAAGGGTTTGTAGACATAATTCTTGAAAACAGTGGCTTTATTCTCATGTATGTTAGCACTCAACAAAGAGTATACAGTGGGGATATAAGAGAAAAAAATTATTAGGTTATATAGACAGAATGTAACTTTCTTACAGTTAATGAACATTGTAGGCTGAATTTAAATCAAAACCAAATGTTTTAGTATAAGAACATATTTGTCAGTGCTTGAATTACAGGGGAAGGGGAGTTGTCGTTTTTAGTGGGTTCTGTTAGCTGCTGATGTGGCCTCTGATGTTTGATCCTTGCTACTTAAACATACTGCTATGTATGGGCACTCTGACTGCTCCTGCCTGGTCGTTTCTGTCATATCTCTTGGCTGTGGATGGTCTGGTCTCTACATTTCTCTGTTTACTCTTTCTAGATCCACCCATTTATGACTCTAGGCAGATTCTGTAGCCTGCTGCTTTATATCCTGCCCTTCACCCCATTAAGGACCCAAAGCAGCTTACATTAGTCTCCCTTTTATCCACACAACAACCTTATGAGGTAGGTTAGGCTAAGAGTGTGACTGGTCTAAGGTCACCCGGGAGCTTATATGGCAGAGTGGGGATTCGAACCTGGGTTTCCCAGATACTAGCCTGACACTCTTAACACTAACCACTACACCATGCTGTGTCTCCATATGTTTGGTCTGGTCAGATACTTGTTCCTGCCATTCACTTTCTTTGCCACACCCAAGAGTTCTAGCTGCCTCAGTGAACTACATATTGTATGTGAAAGTACTTTCCAATCAAATCAAAATGCTCAGATTTTGATCCCCCCCCCCCCCAGTTATATCAGAGGTAATGTTAGGCCCCAAAGGAAGCCCTGTGTAACATTCTTGAATCCTAGCAGAAGAGAATTTGTGAGAGACTCACTCAAATAGCCACAGGAGATAACTAGATTCTCTCTTACTTGGTATGGTAATGCTTCTGGGATGGAGCAGAACTTCTGAGGCAGAAGAAGGGATTGGGCCTGGCTACTCTGAAGATTCCGAATGTGTGGAATTAAAGCAGTTACATTCCTGAAAATTAATTTGCCCTTGAAGACTAGGTTCCAGACTTTGACCCTTGCTGCTTAAAAGGTTAAACATTCTTGTTACCTAACAATTTTCCAGATGTCTGTTACAAATGAAGGAGAAAGTGGATGGAAACTGATAGTGGCTTTGTTTTCTGTTGTACGTACCATAGTACACCAAATGTTTTGCAGTGACTCTATGACTAAGACTGAGGTACTCCTCTGCAGTGACATATCTTCCTGTCAGAACATTCTGTCTTAAGCAAAGCTGACAGGGAGTTCCTGCAACAGTGCTTTCAGTAATATCTTTGGTTCCTTCTTTGCTAGAGATGTCACATCCTGTTAGGATGTGGCCCTTTTTGACAACACTAAGAGGTTGACTTGAGTTTCCTGCCCACAGTATAAAGGAGAACAAACAATCTAAGCTCAGTTTTATCCAAAAAAGTATTTTTTTCAAACAGCTGAAACAAGTACTGGAGAAGGACAGACACATCTGTATCATTTGCACAGTACTGGCATGTGTGAAACCTGATGATACTGTGTCAAACAAATGGATGATCAAATGGCCATTGCTTTCTCCCTTTGTGATCAGTAACTATGGCAGCTCAAGAGTCCAGTAGCACCTTAAATACTGATGAAATTTGTGGCAGGGTAAAATGTTCCACAGCTGGTTTTTGAATGTTACGGTTTCTTTGTTATGGTCAGACTCATGTCCATTTATTCTTTGTGGTAGGGACTGGGCTGTTTGTCCAATGCAGAGGGCAGAAGGGCATTGTTGACAAGTGATGGCATAAATCACGACTACCCATCCTGATCTATAGCAGCTCATCCATCCTTATCACTTCTAACTTCCAACTAACCTGGTGTTCAGATTTCTTGATTTGGTGCGGAAATGCTCTTGGTTTAACAGTAATTCCTGTTGTACATGAGTTTTTTGTCTTATTGCAAGCAGAGGTATGACAGCAAAGCCACTGTTGTCCTTTCCAAGCATCATACTTGCAAGCCTCTCATAACTTAATATACTTTGTCCCAGTATTGTTAGGTGTCTAAAATTGATGGCCACAGTCCCTGAACAGACCAAAGTAGTAACAAAAAAACTGTGCAGGAGTTTGCGCTAATAAATTTGAAATATTAATTTAAAAGATTTCATACAAAAGAGTGTACAATATTTGCATAACATATCAAATACAAGTGAAGATGGTGATCTCTGGAATGGTCTGCCGTTTCGAAGCAAGTCTTCTGAACAATGACGTATACGTGTGGTGTCTCTCTATTTCATTTCAACTGATTCATCATCAACAATTTCATGGATCTCAGGATTGTCTAATACATTGTAGAAACAGTTTCTAGAAAAGCCTTTCCATGGGCGAATGAAGTTGAATCGTCGGAACGGCAGAACATTCCGGAGATCACCATCTTCACTTGTATTTGATATGTTATGCAAATATTGTACACTCTTTTGTACGAAATCTTTTTGATTAATATTTCAAATTTATTAGCGCAAACTCCTGCACAGTTTTTTTTTGTTA